AAACGGACGTTTAGTTTCTGTGCCTGTAGATAACGGTTAATATTGAACTCTTTATATATTGGTGTGATCAAAATCACGAGCTCTATCACGTGAGATGGTTTAGATTCGATTATTCGAAAAAAAATATTTATCGAAATTTCCCCTGGTCCCCTCCAGGGGTAGTGAGGGGTCGAAAAAAAATTTCTTTTTCTGAAGAATCTATTTATTTTATCGTTCTCATAATGACGTCTACACTATAGCGTGATAAGAATTTTTACATATGAATGACATTCTGGAACTGGCTGGGCTGGTTTTTTGGTCAGTTTTCTCCCAGGCCAACTCAATGTTAGCTATTTTTCGGATCGATGGGAAATTATTTTTTGAACTTTTTTTGGGTCATTTTGTAGAGGAGAAAAAGTTGTACAAAATATGTGAAATCCATTGTGGTCCCAAATAAAAGGACTGAGAACGAGCTAAAACAGTGACAAAAGTTAGCATATTTGTTACTCGAAAAATCGGCACTAGTCGACAGTATTGAATCAATAAAGTGACTTTAGTCGAACAAAAATGGATATGTAACCATATCATTTTGTTCAGCTTTTCATGCTCTATCTTCTGATATATTACACTAAAATATTTGTTAACTACGAGTGGTTCAAAATCTCATAACTTTACATTGAAAATTTTTGACTTTTTTTTTCATGAAATTTTGGCAGAGGTCAACATTGGAATGAAAGGACCTCGTCAACAGTTCAACCAAATGGGGTGAAAATTTGGATTTAGAGGTTTCAGATCATGCTGAACAAGATGAGAATATCAAATCCAAAATCCAAATTTTATCGAGTGTTTCTTATGTGGAAAAATCCTCGACGGTCTGATGGACCCTCTCTTAAGCACTTGCCTTCCTTACTCATACCATGCAGAAAGAACAAAAATATAACACTATTTTTTCATTCCTTTCAATATGTAAAGATATGTATTGTTCGATGAATAGAAGAATAGAGAAGAAAACGATTTTCAAACATGACTTATTCTTGGATAGCTATTACACGTGCTCGATAATAAAGGAAGAAGTGAAGAGAATAAAATTGTGTTTTTCGACTTATAACATATTCTTAACTCCACCATGGGGATCGCAATCCAGCGATTTCCGTGCCGATCGCAAGTCCGGGAAAAGGAGGAGCGTTAGACGGAAGGGGTGCAGATACCGCCGTCTGTAAAAAGAACAAGACGACAGAAACCAACCATGAACGACATCAACACGAAACCATACCGGCTCGGACGGCGCCCGGGTGAACAAGGTCCGCGTCCTCTACCGAGTGACCAGGGCAGAGTCGAAAAATTGGTGACTGGAAAGAATTCATATACGACAAAAAATACGCAAAAACTAAAACTTGCCAAAAATACTCTGACAGTAGGAACATGGAATGTGCAGACACTATGGACTGCTGGCAAGCTAGAATTACTCAGAAATGAAATGAAGCGTTTCAGATACGATATAATTGGTATTTCCGAAGTGCGATGGACAGGAAAAGGTGAAACACCGAATGGAGATTTCATCTGGTCAGGAGAGGAATCCTCACATATGAGGGGTGTGGGGTTCTTACTAAGCACACAAGCTAAAAAGGCATTAATAGGATACAATCCAACTAGCTCACGAATAATTTCGGCACGATTCGATGCAGCACCATTTAAAATTTCAGTGATACACGTATATGCACCAACCTCGTCATCCTCAGAAGAAGATATTGAAGCATTCTATAACGATATTGAGGAGGCATTAACAAAGACAGATAAAAAAGATATACTTATCTTGACAGGAGATTGGAACGCTAAAATTGGCAATGATAATACAGATTGGAAGTCCGTGATGGGAAAATATGGGTATGGCGATAGAAACGATAGATAGATTTATTACCCTTACCTTTCGGTGTGGGGTGAGGATCAAAAATGGGTACAATAAACATATAAAAAGAGAATATATATATACAAGAGGAAAAAAATATATACAAAAAAGAGGTAAAAGTTCTTTTGGTTGATTTCCAGTTCGTTCGCCGTTGACTACCAATACTTGCGCCTGTTGTCCGGATGCAACCTCCAACCCGCAAGGGAATGGTTTCGGTTTCGCCCATCATATTGCACGAAGTATTTGCACCCACCGTTTTCGGGCCTTGTCTTTACGCTGCTACATGAGAATTTTGTTTTGTATACACCAATCTTTTGCGCATGCTCGTACGTGATTAGTGATTCCTTGAGGTTTGAAGAATTTGGTACATTTTGGACATGTATACGTGTTGTTCTGGTTCCGTTTAAGTGCTTCTGTAACCTTGATTTGTTGTGTGCCGATTCTTCTTTTTACAGCCATATTCTTGTATTCTTGTACGATATTTTTGATGTTGCTGTGTATTGGTTTAATTTGCACCGGTTTGTTGATCATTTCTCTCCATTTCTCTCTAACTAGAGTGTCCTTTCTCCAGTTATGAATTTGGCATTTGTTAAGATCATCAGCGATCTTATCCTCCCATCTCCTTTTTATGCCACCATTTCTTGGTCGCTTTACATTGGGATAGTAGGAAAACATAATTTTTCTCACTAATGATGGTTCATTATCTTCTTTATTCAACCTGTTGGCATGCCCAAACCATCTTAATCGATTTCTTCTCATTATGTTTTCAATATGTGGTTGTCCGGTGATTTCCAACAATGTGTTGTTTGCTATTCGATCACCCAGGTTCACACCAATGATTGTCCGTAAACATTTCATATAGAAAGTGTTTATCCTTCTCTCTTGTGTCACAGTCATCGACCAAATTTCGCTACCCTACAGCAATACAGGCAATACACATGCACGAAAAATTCGGAATTTGGCTTCAAAAGATATGGATTTTCGATACCAGATGGTGTTACGAAGCATATTGAAAGCACTAGATGCCTTTCCCAGCCTTGCTTCGATTTCTTTTTCTATTGACTGATCTCTCGAGACTATGCATCCCAGATATGGAAAATGCTCAACCATTACAATGTTTTCATTTCGAAATGTTATATCAAACTTGGGTATATCAATTTCCTGCCCTTTGATGACTCTTCTTTGAGCATCTTCTTTACATTGTTTGAGGGACATCATACAAGTTTTTTTGACGTTCATTGTTAAACCACATTGTTGAGTGACTTTCTCAAACGTTCTAATGAAGCGTTCGATATCACTTGCATTATCGCTTATTGCTACTAGGTCATCGGCATACATTAAAGCCACAACATCCAGATCTTCAAATTGATCTTTATCTGTGTGGAAAAAATCTCTGCTGCCGAAAGCCAACCTTACGCCATTTACTCCAGCTTCTTCAATCACCCTTCTTATGACATAGTCGAAAAATATGTTGAACAGCATCGGTGATATGATCCCTCCTTGCAATACACCAGTTTCCATTTCGAAAGATTCTGATAGTTTGCCATTTATACGCACCCGAGCGTTTGTTTTACTGTGAAGCAGTTTTAGCAGCCGAATCACTTTATCAGATATACTATAACACCTGCATATTTTCCATAACAACTTTCTATCAACAGAATCATAAGCCTTTTGTATATCAATGAAACACAAGAACAGTGATTTGTTATATTCTTGAGATTTTTCCATTATTAATTTGAGTGTAAAGATCGGATCAATTGTAGATTTGTTGCGACGAAAACCAGCTTGTTGTTCCAGCAATTGTTTGTCGATTACGTTTTGTATCCGATTTAGTATTATGCGTGAGAAGATTTTGCCAGTTACTGCCAAAAGAGATATACCTCTATAGTTACCACACACTGTACGATCCCCCTTATTTTTGTACAGCCGAATTAGAATGGCGGTTGTCCAATCTTCTACAACTTCTTCATCGTTCCAAACATCACATAATATTTCATGTACCCATTTTGCCATGGGTATGCCACCAGCCTTGAGCAGGTCTGCTGATATATTGTCGACGCCGGGAGCTTTCCTGTTCTTCATTTGCTTGATAGCATCATGAACTTCAGACAGAGAAGGTGGTTTGTCTTGTCGCATTTGTTCTGTTGTTGAAATAATAGGTACCGAGATTTGTTGAAAAATGTGTGGATCAATAACGGAGTGAACATTTAATAAGTCACAAAAGTATTCTCGCCATCGCAACATTACATCGTTTGAGTTTGAAAGCAGATCACCTTGTTTGTTTTGTATTGGCATATTGTCTACATTGAGTCGTCCACCTTTCAGTTGTCTTATCACTCTGTATGCTGTGCTTGGATCATGTTGCTTAATCGCCTTTTCTATTTCTTCACTCACTTCATCCCAATACTCAAGTCTTCGAGTATGTATTTTTCTGTTTACTAATTTTCTTAGTAGACAGTATTTAATTCGATATTTTCGTTCCATCCTTGTTTGTCGATGGTTTTGCCATTCGACAAAGGCAGCTGCTTTTTCGTTTACAAGATTCATAATTTCATCTGTCAACCATTCTTTTGCTCTTCTTGGTGTATTTTGTTCTTGCTTAAATATTGTACCACCTAGATTCTTCACGTAATCAGAAAATTCATCATATTTTTCATTTACGGTCTTCTTTTGTGCACCAATACCTTCCAATTTGTTCAGGAGTTGTTCTTGAAATTTCTTCTGTAAATCATCATCGTTTATTTTATTCATGTCCAAACGTACACACTGGTTTTTCAGCTTTTTTTCTACATCTTAGATGAAGCCGTAGCTTTGTTCTTACAAGATGATGATCGGTACCAATAGCACCAGCTGCATTTCTGTACACTCTGACATCCTCTACACTTGAACGAAATTTCTTGTTAACTAGTGTATAATCCAGCATATGCCATTTTTTGTTTCCTGGATGCTTCCATGTCATTTGATGTACTGTTTTATGCTGGTAAAATGTGTTGGCCACGATTATATCATTATGAGAACAGAAATCTATCAGATGTTGTCCATTTTCATTTATTTTATCCACAGCATGAGGTCCGATGACATGTTTAGTTGTTTGGTTTTGCTGCTTGCCAACCCTTGCATTAAAGTCGCCCATTATCAGAAGCATATCACCTTTAGGCACTTTGTCCACTGTTTGTTGTAATTTTAAATAAAAGGCATCTACTTCTTCGATTGCCTGTTTGTTATAATTTGGATTTATTGGAGAATATACTGCAATTATTGTGACGTGAATGGGCTTACATCTTAAACGAATCATTATTATTCTTTCATTTACAGCCTCCCATACCGATCCCGATTCCTTCCAGACATTAGATGCTTGTTTGTCTAGATAAATTGCAACCCCATGAGCAGATTTTGTTTTATTGCAGCTTGATGTACCAGAGTACACCATAGAATAATTATCTGTAGTAATAACGCCCGAGTCATATATAGCAGTTTCACTTAGAGCTGCAATTTGAATTCGATGTTTCTGTAATTGCTTGATAATTATATCTCTCTTGACTTGCCGAAAGCACGAACGTACGTTCCATCCACCAAAGAAAGTAGTTTTGAGTGCGTTTATACACTTTCTCTGATCCTTTTCGTTAGCCAGTAAAGTTTAAAGTCCTATTCGCAGGGGGCTAGCCCAGAAACAAGACAAGGTGGCTACCAGCAGCCCAGGGGCGCCTCTCATGGCTGTTACACAGTCATGAGACCCTGTGGATGTTAACACATCCCTGGCAGGCGGGATAGAAACGAACGCGGAGAACGCCTCCTAGAATTTGCGACAGTGCACGATCTCTACGTATGTAATACAAAATTTCAACATAAATCAAATCGAAAATGGACCTGGGCATCACCAGATGGCATTCATAAGAATATGATTGACTTGATTCTCATCCAGCAAAGATGGAAGACCTCAGTCACCAACTGTCGAACATTTCAGAGTGCAGACATTAGCTCAGATCACTCACTAGTGTTGTGCAATATCAACTTGAAACTTAAGAAACCGCACAACAAACCACAAAAATACTGCAGAGTTTATGTGAACCGACTGAGAGATGAGAAAATAAAGCAATCATACAGCGCTGCTCTAACGAAACAAATGAAAGATATAGAGCCAACATGTAGTCTGGAAGAACATGCCAAAAAAATAGAACAGGCAATCAAAATTATAGTAGAGGCAACTGTACCTGCAAAAATAACAACCAAAAAACCATGGATTTCTGAAGAGACGCTAAAACTAGCTGACGAAAAACGCAGACTAAAACAACTAAGAAACGTTTCCCTAGAATATGCACAACAATACAAAGGCCTATGTAGGAAAGTTAAGAGATCAGCAAGACAGGACAAAGAACATTGGATACAAGATCAATGTGAGCAAGCTGAAAAAGGTTTAAATATTGGAAATACAAGAGAAGCATATGGCCTCATAAAAATGTTAAGAAAAGAATTTGTACCTCGATTAAATGTCATACGAAATCAAGAGGGAACAATGTTACAGACAAAGGACGACATCAAACGAAGGTGGACACAGTATTGTAGCAGTCTGTATAAAGATCCTGGAGGCGGAGATGGGATGGTAAAGGAACTTGAAGACATTGCACCTCCCGGAGAGGAAGTTCCTCAGGATATCTTGTATTCAGAGGTACAAGCAGCGATAAATTCATTAAAAAGGAATAAAAGTCCAGGATCAGACGGCATAACAGCGGAAATGTTACAAGCTGGGGGCGAACCGTTATCACGAGAAATCCACAAACTCTGTAACAAAGCATGGCATGAAGGTACGATTCCAGAAGAATGGGGCAAATCTATATTGGTACCTATACCAAAGAAAGGTGACCTCAGCAATTGCTCAAACTACCGAACGATCTCTCTTATTAATCATACAGGAAAAGTACTCCTAATAGTACTGCTAAATAGATTAAAAACTCATCTGGATCCGTACCTCTCAGAAGAGCAGGCAGGGTTCAGGAAAGACAGGAGTACCGTACATCAAATATTAACGCTTAGACTATTGGCTGAAAAGGCAAAAAGACAGGGCAAGAAAATATACAACTGCTTTATAGACTTTCAAAAAGCATTCGATACGATCAAACATAAAATTATTTGGGCTATGCTAAAATCCTATGGTGTTGACACAAAGATGGTCACCCTGCTACAGAAAATCTACGAAAAGTCACAGTCAGCTGTTCGCATTGGTAAAGACAATGGAGAGTGGTTCCGAACAGATGTAGGAACTAGACAAGGCGACCCTCTGTCACCACTCCTCTTCATCGCATATCTCGAGCGAGTAATGGACCAGGTGAGACAGAACACCTGCGGAATCAATATTAGCGGAATCTTAATAAATAACCTGAGATTCGCCGACGATATTGACCTGATCGATGAAGATGTTAGCTCACTTCAACAACAAATAGAGCTAACTAAAACAGCTGCTGAACAAGCTGGACTAATCTTAAATATAAATAAAACCAAAACCATGGTATTTGGAGACAGGAATATAGGAAATAACATTCAAATAGCAGGAAACACTATAGAAAACGTGGAAAAATTCGAATATCTTGGCAGTCTGCTGACATGGGCCAATAACTGTTCAGAAGAAATAAAAAGGAGAATAGGGAAAGCGACAGGTACAATGGCTTCTTTGAGACACATATGGAATAGCAAGAAACTGAAGCTAGAAAATAAACTTAGAATCCTAACCACATGTGTGTTCAGTGTCCTATTATATGCATCAGAGACATGGACCCTAAAAGAAGCAGACAGGAAAAAATTATTGGCATTCGAAACGAAATGTTACCGACGGGTTCTAAGAATCAATTGGCAAGATATGGTACGAAACGAAGATATCAGGAAAAAGATATCAAAGGAAGAGACCATAATAGACACCATCAAGAAGAGGAAACTAAGGTTATTCGGCCACATCTGCAGAATGGACGATTCGAGACTAATAAAACATCTAATATTTGGTAAAATGGAAGGAAAATCTCGAAGGGGGCGTCCATGCAGAGAATGGCTAGATGACATAACAGAATAGTGTCAGCGCAGTGGACATGACCTGTTCCACCTTGCGCAAGATCGACGGGCATGGAAAAATCTGATCTCGTAAATGGTTGGCCCCAACGGGCGCTAAGCCTAAGGGACATGATGATGATGACGATGAACATATTCTTGCAATATATGAGTTATCTCGATAGAGTGAAAGCCAAAATGTGTGCTAGAGAAAATCGAAATAAGTGTAAACGTTGCGATCATACTTTTCGATTTAATGAAACGAAAAGATTTTTACAAAGATCGAAAGAATTGTGTGAATTCGTATTTTCAACTTGACTTATTGATATAAGAAAGCTGATAGATGTTACGCAGTTGGATATACCTTTATGTAATACATGTTATCGATACTATAGTCGGCAAATGAGAGCAGCATCTATTAATGCAACAGACTATTCAATGGAATCAGATTTTGGAGGTACTTCAAAGACTTTTGCTAATGCATCATCTCAAACCGAAGATTCTAATGTTACAATTCTAACTCGTTCTGATTCAGTTAATATGATTGTCGATACTCCAGCTACTATTGACGTGACAGCTTCTGTAACTACATCTACTGTAGTTTCGAAATCCTCGTCGTCGGTCGCGTCTCCCGCTTCTATATCGTTTTGTTGTCTACCTACATCTCACGGTCGCTGTTCAATATGTCATGTTGAATTTTCTTGTAATTCTTCAACATTAGTTAGTAGCAATGATGTCCGAGCTCCAGCGTTTTTGGAGCACGATATATTAATTGTATTTGGTTCACGATGCTGTGTTAAACATATTGATTCCGGCTATTTAAACGCTGGAGCTTTACAACGTATTCGAAATAATGAAAACAAGTGTTATCTTTGCGTAGAAGAGTTTGTAAACATTTTTACTATAGTCAAAAATGAATTTCTATTGAAGGCCTCGACAATAAAAGAACTAAACAACGCTCCACCATTGAACTTCGATGATTTAACATCTCTCACGTCGGATAATTATTATGTTCTTACAGGTCTGAACCGCGTCGACTTCGATGATCTTTGCTCACGCATTCCATCTCCTGCATTGAGAAGCACTCATAATCGGTCAGCACGAACTGCAATTGCTTGTCTATTAATGAAATTAAGATTAGGAATTAGTAATCAAGTCTTAGCAACTTTATTCTCATTTAACGATAAACGGACTGTATCTCACGTGGTTCATAGTGCACGTAAAGTTCTTGTTGAATATTTTGTGCCTAATTTTCTCGGATTCGAACATATCAAACGAAGAGATGTGATCAATTTGCATACACGTCCATTAGCATCTGAACTATTGGCCGGTCAATCTGATCGTGCTATATTAATACTCGATGGTACTTACATCTATTGTCAAAAGAGTGCAAATAACTTATTGCAAAGACGAACGTATAGTATGCATAAAGGAAGACCGTTGGTCAAACCGATGTTAATTACTACAACGACCGGTTACATTGTGTCATGTATGGGACCTTACTTTGCGGATTATAAAAATAATGATGCTGAGATAACTAAGCATATTATATACCTTGCCAATAGACTACTGATAAAATAACGTTCCGTCGTGTGTATGTAGTATGTGTGTCTTTATCTTTTATATAAAAATAATGATGCTGAGATAACTAAGCATATTATATATAACAACAAAGAAAATATCTTAAAGTGGCTGGAAAAGGGCGATATACTAGTGGTCGATCGCGGATTTTGTGACGCATTAGATTATCTTTACCTGATGGGCTATCAAACATATATGCCATCATTCTTAGCTAAAGGAGCAAAACAGTTTACAACTGAAACTGCTAATCAAACTCGATTTGTCACAAAGATTAGATGGGTTATTGAAAGCGCAAATGGACGTATAAAACAGTGGTGAATTTTCGACAAAGTTTTACCTAATTCTCTTCTGAAAACAGTAGGGGATCTAATAGCAATTGTATGCGCCTTACAAAATTCTTATGGTGCTCCATTTATTAAATCCACAACAAAAGATAAAGAACTAGCTCAACAAATGTTGCAACTACGTGATCAAACCAATGAATTAGGCGACTACGTGACCAAACTCAAAAATAAGACTGAAAAACTTCTACAGTGGAAAGAACTGAATGCAGTGGATACGGCACCAGACTTTCCTCGCTTGACGTTTGAAGAATTGAACGATTTAACACTCGGTAAGTTAACTCATTATTTATATAACAATTTGAAAAAGATCCCTTCTTGTTTGCAGGAACTTATCAACTTATACAAGCAAAATCATACACGGTAGAACATCTGTCAGTTGATGGAAAATATGTCGTTAAAGTAGCAAAAGATCGAACTGATCTTATTAAAGCTAAAATACAATCAAGACACAAAAGTTCTGTGGCATATGATGTATGGATTAGATATTCATCGAGAACAATTTTGGGTTGGTATTGTACTTGTCGAGCTGGTGCGAGAATTGTGGGTTGCTGTGCGCATTGTGCATCAATTATATGGTATTTGTCATTCGCGCGCCATGAGCCCGACCAGCTCAAGCAAGAATCATCGTCATTCTTAAATTCTTTGGTCGACGCTGCTGACTACTCAGATATATCGGATGAAAGTGATACTGAAACAGACTCTGATGATGATAATTTGTTTTATGCGTTGGCTTAAAATTGTTTTCTAAAGTCTTCACCATTTTCAAAAACAAACAGAAATCTTTTTCTTCTCTATTCTTCTTTTCATCGAACAATACATATCTATGCATATTGAAACGAATGAAAAAAGAGTGTTATACTTTTATTCTTTCTGCATGGTATGAGTAAGGAAGGCAAGTGCTTAATCTTTTCGTGTTCGACACAACTATTTTTGTCATAGAAAACTTTTAACACAACTATGTTTTTCAAGAAACTCTAAAAGCAGCTATTACATATTAATGTAATTGAATGAGAACTTTTTACACGAACAATCGACTTAAAGAACACATCATTTGAAAGAGAATCACTTAATGTATCTCCAGTAGAAAAGTCATTTTTGTTCACGACTTCTACGTATACATCTGGTCATCAACAATCCTGAGAATGATTTGCCGTGATCAATCGGATAAGTGATCTGCGTTTACTGGATTAAGATTATATCTGATTAACCTAATTCTTTCGAAATCATATAGAGCACAACAAATTACGTATAGGTAGAATTTATTGATCTATCAAAGATTTTATCTCTATTAACTGAGAAAACAAATTCAAGAAAAATTATGTTTAAGCTTATTTTATATTCTAGCTGTCATATAGCGATGATGCATTTTTGGACGTTCTAATTGTTATATTCAAAATCAACATATAATATTGTGTAGAACTAAATATTACTTTGATTGAATTTGAAAAAAACTTTTCTACTTTCCCCTATCCCCCTTCAAGGATAATTTTTTTCGATTTTTAGTAATTCTTAAACGCTATTCCACTCAGAATTTGATGCTGATTCCGAATATAAGTGTCTTAGATCACGGCTTTCGGGGCCGAAAATATGCCTTAATGCCCCTCGTCCTTTGATGTGAAAATTCTTAAATAGTACACGGGAACAAAGTTTAGAAATAACTTTATATCACAAACATACTTTCTGCTTTTTTTCTGCTTTTCGATGAAAACATTTCTACCATTTTCTGATTTTTACAGAATATTTTCTGCTTTTTGGACTTTGTAAGTTGGCAGCACTAAACACACCCCTTATTAGAGTACCTACTATTATCGCTTAATTTCCTTTCGGAATTCTGGGATATATGCGTAGGTTGTATAATCTATTTGTGATCATCTCGATCATCGAATGATTATGCGAAAATTTAAGCCATCTGACGAGTCCCTTAAGCAAGAACGAAACCGGTCATGGTTGCTATATAAAACACACACCCACACACCTACACCCTTTATATAGATCAAGTCGTTTATTTATGATCTTCGGATCATCTGAATAACTATAAAGACAAAGTCATCTGAAGAGTCCTTTAGCAGGGACGAAACGCGTCATGGTTGCTCAAAACACACACCCATACCCCAAGTTAGAAGATAGATTGGCTTGTTTTCCATTGATTTAGCTTCAATAGAAAGCGAAAGAACGATATACCTTAAGCTGTTTTGTCAATCCAAGCCACGAGATGGTTCCAGCCGGTCGGATTCCACTTCTTGCCGGTGAATAAAATGCCCAATTTCTCAAAACTGGTGGCCGTGTCTTCCACGTTTTGCTTATCCTCCATCCATTCCTTTGAGTCGAATGCCGGAGACTTTCCTTGCAAATGGCTGTTAATTCCATAGAACCCGAGAATAATTCGTTTCCGTGCGAGCAGAAATACGTTGTGAAATGTCGTCCTCCACTTTTTCTCGGCGATATTCCAATTCGTTGCAAAATTCCAAAATACATAATCGAATACTGTTGGGAATCCACATTCGCTCAGCATGTGGACATCATGAACATTGAGATGAATAAAGTGGCTTTTTTCTGATGGAAATAAGAGCTGAGCTTCATCTATAAGCTTTGCTTGAACATCGATCCCGTATGGAACTAGCTTATGGCAAGACCATGCTTGTAAACATCTGAGAAAGAAGCCATTGGCACAACCAATGTCTAGAATAGTACCATTGGAGTCGAATATAGTAGCAATAAATTCTCGCTTCGCCTTCCAGTCTTCGTAAGAACCACTTGACTTGCATCCTGTTATCAACCGGTCCACGACTAAATTGTTCGAGATCAGCAGTTCAAAACTGTTCATGACGTAAGAATGCAACTTTTCGGTCAAGTAATCTTCAAGATTAGACTTTGTGAGATACTGTTTGTTTCATTAGTGAATGTGCAAAAGTAAATCCTATCTTCTTTGGTAGTTCTTATCTGCACATTGTATTGCTACAACATTTTAAATGCTGTAAAATACTCTGAACCCTACACTATTTTCTGCTTGACTGTATACAACTCATAGATGGACCCGGTCTAGTTTTTCGACGACCGGTACCGGTAGCGGTCTGAACAGGTCGGACCGGCTGGTATGCCGGTCAAACCGATATACCGGCCGGTCCGGTCCGGTCTGACCTGTTCAGACCGGTACCGGTACCGGTCGTCAAAAAACTAGACCGGTTCCATCTATGATCTATGATACAACTAACGTGCAAATAACCCTGCAACAAGGAAATAACTTCGACGCTTTTCTCAGGAATATCTCACTTTATTTTTCGCTTGACACCTAAACCGGTCTTATGAAGAAAAGTCCACAAGTGTTACCCGGGATTAAGACGAAAACTATATGGGCTTTTCAAGTGTAGTGCTCATATCTCAATACGGAAAAATTAGCTGCTGAGACTGAACGATCAAAAAATTTTGGTTAAAATACTTTCGCATTAAAAACCTGAGGGAGACGACAGATAAACTTTTCTATTGAAAACAAATCTCATAAAAAGTTGAGACATTTTAAAGTTCACTAGGCTGATCCTGATATCCCAAATATGCTGCTAGCTTTCCTACATGTTATGCTTTTCTGACCAAATTTACTGATAATTCGTGAAAATTTAATGCTATGTCTTCCGAATAGTCGTCTAGGAACTTTTTAAGTGACATGTATGCAATGAAAAAGAGAGCTGCGAAATGAGGGAATGAATGAGATGAAGAGAGAGTCCGTTCCCTTTTTCGTATACGTGAGTTATAGTTCCTTTGTTGAAGAAAAGACACACACAAGCTACTTCTAGCTCATACAGACTACAACTTGTTAGCGCCAACCTATGTTATACTAATATTAAATCAATTCCTATATATTTAGTCTACAATTCTAAAATTCCAGAATTCTGGAATCTTTGAATAGGGCCACGTCTCTTATTTTTCATATCCCTTGATAATATAGTGAATAGTAATACATGTATTGTTTCGGAATCATTTTCAATGTTCAAATAGGAGTGTACTACTCTATCAAAGAGTATTTTATCATAATTATCACTGGATGACTGACATAAATTACAAAGTAACTCATAGAAAGTGAATTACAAAATAATTCAGAACAATCTAAACATAACTCAACGACCAGAAGAGATTGAAGATCAAGTTATCGTTTGGATATTTACGAAGGATCAGAGTCTACAAGTGTCTACTAGAGTCTACCATGGTCCACGCGCACACCCAGAGTCTGAAAGGGCCTCCTAGGGCCTGGCATGGTCCCCACCCACGCCCAGGTTCTACTAAGGTCTAGCACTATTTTCACCTTTTAAAGCATTCAAATAGGTCTTTTGGGGCGGGGATTTCGAATCTGACATCCATTTGACCCCAAAACCGATTGGTGGGTTAGAAACCAATAGAAATCGACTTTTCTCGAAAATGCTGTTTTGGAGGTACTTCGGAGTGGGGATCTCGAATCTGATCTTCATTTGCCCCGAAAACCTATTGATGAACTAGGCTGCAATAAAAATGTAGTTGTCTGTCAAATGTCTCCCCCAAGGGGGAACACGCTGATTTCTTGATTTTCTTGATTTCTTATGATTCCCATTGATTTGTAGTGATTTCTATTACTGGAAATAAGTTTTTACGTGCTCATTGCAGACCAGTAAGGAATCGCTGGATATGCTTAGAAATTTTGAAAAACTATGAGAGATCAATAGCACTCAATAGTGGTCATCAAAAATATGGCGAATTATGGAAAAAGTGGAAATTAGTAGAAATCATTAGAAATCAAGACTTTTTTAAGTGTATAATTAGAGAATTCCTGTGATTTGTATCGATTTCTTGTGCAGTGTATGGCAATCTCTCGTGGTTTGTGCGTAGTGGCTCATACTGCTTTCGTTCTGTTGATTATGGAAGAAAGGTTTTCATTTAACATTTTTTTGACGATTTCTTCTGGTGTTTGTTTTTATCTGTTTACACTTTTTCTTGCTTTTTGCTTGATTTTGAATTTGTCCTTCTCTTGTCCTTGGGGATGTCTTTTGTGCGTTTCATTTTCAATCGCATACGACTTTTTTTCTGACGACTTTTTGTTGTGTTTACTCTTGTTAGCGTCGTATGCTTTTTGCTATTTACCTGAGTTACTGCTTTTAGTGTAGAGTTCTTTTTTATTCTTCGACAAAGACACACATTTTGTAATAGTATTTATTGATCTCTGAATTTTAAAGTTCTCTCATATCATCAAGAAACAACTCGTGATTTATCGGGGTTTATTGAGCTCTATACTATTTGATATTCGTTCGTTTACGACGGGTCGAAAATTGGTAAGTTGAAGCTACTGATCATAAAACTGTATTTTACAGAACAATGAGTATAAAACTGCTACGAAAAACATGATCGATTTCAAATAAGTCATAAATTATTTTATTTTATTCGAGCCTTTGATTATAACCTTTTATTGTCATCAAGAATATAGAAAACAGCGATATATAACACTATAAATATTACAATACTAATTAGAACAAACATGGTAACCAAAAGAGAAAGATGAACCAATATGAATAATTCTAATTATTCATATTGTTCGTAGAACTTATCGCGATCGCCGAAATTGCGCGGGGGCATAAATTATAAGACTAAATTTACAAGGGAATATTCCCAGGTGCCGGAGCGCTTTTCAGCGGGAATTTTGCGCATCTTGTAGCCCTTGGTGAGCTGTGTCTATGGTATAAAAATTTCGGGTTTCTGGCGTGTTACTGGAGAGATATCGAGTTTTCGGTGAATTTTCTATATAGCACCCCATCTCTGTAGTAAAGCTGTAGTTTTGAATTTTGACCCGAAACTTTGCCCACATAACAATCTCAGCTATACTAGCTTATATAACAAAATTCAAAAGTTTCGGACAAAGTCCTTCCTAGATATCAAATTATCAGGTCACAGACTCTTTTTCATAGATCATATGTATATTATGCGTGTTTTGACAACTTCATATCTCGGAGAGACTTTGTCCAAATCTTTTGAATTTTTTTATGCAAGCTAGTATAGCTGGGATCGTTATCTGGGCAAAGTTTCTGGTCAAAATTCAAAACTATAGTTTTACTACAGAGATGGGGTGCTATATAGAAAATTCACCGAAAACTCGATATCTCTCCAGTAACATGCCAGAAAGCAGAACTTTTTTACCACAGACACAGCTCAATAAGGGCTACAAGGTACGCAAAACTTCAGCTGGAAAGCGCTCCGGCACCTGGGAATGTTCCATTGTTAGTCGAAATTCTACGTCCTTTAAAGCTTTATCTTGCATTTTATGTGTATAGAGATTTTCTTTAATAGCTCAGCGTCTCCAGTTTGTTTCTAATGTTATGTATTTCAGATTGTATAAAATTACATGAGTGTTTATTTTCATTAGCATGCTTATATAGCTACATTAGAGTGTTCTATGCTTTTCAGGCTGGTCGTCCAAATGTTGAAAGGAAAAATGTCGATACAACGAATGTTAACATGAAAAAATGACACAAATGTTTTTCAACAATTTTTATTAGTGATGGACATGATTTATTATATGCTGTAATCAGGGCTGCCCCGACCATTCAAAGTTTGGGGGGGTGTAAAAAAATTTTCCTCCCAGATGCTTTGCTCAGAGGTGTCGCGAGCACCCAAAAATGGGGCAGTACTACTTAAAAAATCCAACTTTCGAAACATTGTGAGTGGAAGTAATCAGTTCTGCAAAATTTTTCGGATATTGAAACTTTTTTTGGACTTATTTTGCATTTTTTCTGGATTTCTTCAAGATTTTTGGAAATTTTTCGGAATTTTTTTCGACTATTTTCAGAATTTTTTGGGGATTCGTCGGAATCTTTTCACTGTTTTTAGAATTTTGTTATGCATTTTCTGAATTTTTCATACGTTTTCACGATTTTTCGGGATTTTTTCGGTTTTTTGAGAGTTTTTGAGAATTTTTTGAGGATTTTTTTGAGAATTTTGATATTTGAATTCTGGATTTTTGATCTTGACGTCTGGCCACACTGAAGGTAACTTATAAAACTGTGTTACGGTGGGATAAATTTTACTCTGCAAAATATATTGCAAGAGAATTTTCGAACATTGGGGGGGGGGGGGGGTAACCCCCCCCCCCCCCCCAATAAATGAGAATTTTATGATTGTTCGCTATGAGAAATATACAGTATTTTTAATTGATTTTTCATTGCAATATTCAAAAAGAAAAAAATATATGAGAAGAAAAGAAGTAAGAAATAAGAAATAAGAAAAGGAAAAGGAAAAAGAAGAAACACCGACATATACGAGCTGTTTGATTATGCTATTACAATGAGTGTGTTACAATCATTGTAGGTTGGAATCAATTTTATCGAATCAAATAGAGACAATAGCCTTTGATCAATTCAACAAAGAGCAATGTACACGCTTATCGCCCGTTCATTCTCTGTTTTAATTTGTAACTCGAATAGTAGTATCGTAATCATAATTTTCTCATAACTATCTATTCTGCGAAATAAAATGTATAATAAAAATGAGAAAAGAAATTGGTTAAAGAAAAAAAAGCCAACAATGACTCTACTTCCCAATGACGCTTCCAGTGAAGATAATATAGAAAAAGCAATATTGGCAACTACACCATTAACTACAAATGCCGTGTCATCTTCATCATCATCAGTCTCTGAACCTGAAGGTAATCTTAAAATAGTGGAAACATTTGATTAATTGATTATTCTTCTTTTACAGTCATTGCACCTAAGCCATCAACAAATGAACCAGGTTGTGATTTAACTGATCATAATATAATCGATACCAATGAAATAACAAGCATTGTTAATGAATTAGGTGAACTTCAATCTTTACTTTGTACTTGTGAACATTTGATCAAACAATCACAAACATCTGATTTTTCAGAAGAAGTATTTACTATCGATACTAACTTATTTTTCAAATCATTGAAAGATATTACAACAAGACTTGAACATCTTTGCAACAAACAAACATTAAAAACCAAACAAAGTCGTGGTGTTGCTATTGTTAGTACAAAAATCAAAAGCAACTTTACCAGTCGAGATCCAGGAGACAATAGAAAATATAATGACGATGAATTACGATATTTGGTGTCTTATGGTCCTTATCATGATTTAAATGTATCTTATCCTCAAAACCTTGAATTAAAGAAGAAAAATAAACAATGTTCATTTACTTCCAATTGGTACAAGGATTTTCCTTACTTGGGGTATAGTATTAAAAAAAATGCTGTATTTTGTTTTTGCTGCCGTTTGTTTGGTTTTGGCCCTGGCAGTGAAAAATGTCAAGTAGCATGGTCTTCAACAGGTGTTTCGGTGTGGTCAAAGATGACAGGTAATAAAACTGATAGAAGTGCGAACATCACAGAAACCGCTATTTTGGTCTCTCGTATTTTAGGTCCAGATGGAAAGTTGGTTAAACATTTCAAATCCATCTCTCATATTACAGCTGAAAATCGGTTACTAAATTTTTCTCAAAAAAACACGAACGTCGATTTGATTTTAGATGCTGGCCAAAGAAGAGCTGATCAAAAAAGGGAAGCAGTGTTAAAATTAAATGAAAAAATAGTTGTGACATTACTTGATGTTAGTCGATTTTTAAGTAGACAATCATTAGCTTTTCAAGGTGATACAAATTCTGAAGGTATGAAATAAAGAAAAAATTTTCGAAATTTTTCTTTTTTATGAAATTTTATTATTTTAGAAAATTTTATTGCAGCTGTGAATATGATGCGTCGTCGTGATCCAGTACTTGATTAATGGTTCAATAACTCTAATTTGTGACCATATCATGTAAGGATAATATACTTAGTCTTTTTGAACTCTTTTAAACACTTTGATTTTAGAGTACTTATCTTCATTATGATTCACAAAATGAATTTATTCAGTTACTTGGCAGTGCTGTTCATAAAGAAATTTATTCAATTATTGTACGATTTGTAAAAAAGTTTATTGCACAAGAACGAATAATATCAGTATCAGAATTAAATTCTAAAACAGGTGTAGATATCTGTGAGCATATTTTAGATCAGCTCAAACGCTGTGGTATATCAACCGACAAAATTATAGCTCAATCATATTGATAATGCTTCAAATATGTCTGGTAAAAATCTTGGTGTCCAAGCTTGTTTAAGTAAGTATTTAAACAGACAAATTATGTATATGCCTTGTAGTACAACATGGAAGTTGTATTAGCATTGATTATATTAATTGTTTTGGTATTTTACAAGAACTATATAATTTCTTCACTGGTAGTATCAAAGGATACTCTTTACTTTGTGACGAATTAAAAAAAACGAGTCATGGTAAGTTTTATTTAATTACAAATATGTTTATGTTTTGTGTCTATTCAGGTTTACTGGTTAAAGATTTATCTACAACTCGTTGGTCTGATCGATATGAATCTATTCGAGCTGTTATAACATCTTATCAAGAAATCACTAACACTCTTCAAAATTTAGCGGATCATGATATTGAAAAAAAAATCGAGAAGCAGCTATGAATCTTTTAAACAAATGATGTAGCTTTGGTTTTTATACCATATTACTTTTCATGAAGCATTTATTGGCATCAAACAATGCATTAATTGTTCATTTACAAACTCCCACAATGGATATTTTAACTGCCATTGACATTCTTGAAAATACAATTCATCTTTTTGATCACATGTATGACGATCATGAAAGTTTTCGTGGCATTATTGAAGTATGTAAATTTGTTTTCTTTTATTTTTAAATTTCAAGCAAACTTTTTACACTAGGTATCCAAAAAAATCTTGATAAATTTAATGTAAGTGCTGATTTGGATGCAGAATTTCAATGTCTTCGATGTCGTAATAAAGCTCTACAATCAATGTAACTATAAGACAACATTTTCTAACTAATATATTAAAATTTATTTACATAATAGACAAGAGTACTATCAAATTACTTTTCAAAAATTGATTATCCATATGAATGATGAATTTAAAGATTATTTATTAGTTTTAACAACAAACATTAAACATTTTGGTCATTTATCACCAAAACAAATCAATTTATTTTCTCGAGAAGATGCAAACAATATCTGCTCAGTTGTTTCTGATATTGATGATCCTGATCTTTTATTTCATGAATTTCAACCTATGAAATCAAAAATTATTGAATCCGACAATATTGCAAATGTATTAATAACAATTAGAACACCTGATGTTTATCCACGAGCTCATAAAGTTTTACAATATGTATTGACAATACCAATTTCAATAGCATCAAATGAGCGATCATTTAGTAAATTAAAAATTGTCAAAAATTATTTTCGAACAAATATGAGTGATCAACGATTATTTTACTTAATGTTTTATGCAATTGAAAAAGATTATCTTGATGAACTCAATTTGTATGATTTAGCAAAAGATTGGGCAAAGATGAAAGACAGACGTATTGAACTTCCATAAAAATATATATTCATATTAAAATTTTATTTAATGTTATTTGTTGTTTCTTTATGATCTCTTTGATTGTGAAAAATAAAATAATAAATATATATGGTTTCCTATTTTTTGCGTAAATTTGTCGCCAAACTAGCAATGTATCGCTTGGTATTGTGTAAGTGCTACGGTTGTGCTGTGTTGTGTTGTCTTTAAGTAGTTTTGCGGTGTGCATATATCTATGGATATTTTTAAAAATTTACACCCCCAATCTTAGACCCTTCGCGCGGGCTCTGGTCACAAGCAACACATTTTTGGATCGTTCATGGCATTTAATTTTTTAGGGTAGCTTTTATTCACTTCAGTCTTGTTTCGCTGAGCCGATGAATATTTTTTGGAAGTCTCTGTCGCTATTGATGGTCAATAGGAAGAAACTTCTCATACATGCACAACGAAAGCTTATAGTAATCAAATCAATATGGCCAGATGAGCAAAATTTTTCTCGAATTCTCAAAGCTCGCTGATACTGATCAAGAGCGTCATCATACTTTCCTGGTTGATAGAGAATACCACCGATATTGTTGAGAATCCAAGCTGAATCTTTGATTCATGGTGGTTTACTTTTCATCATGTGCAAGATCATAATATTTTAGAGCTTCATTCCATTCACCGTTAAAATGAAGAACTCGACCTATATTAGATTCAATAAAAGCACAATCGTCTTCTTGTGAATCATTTAGTAAGAAATCTTCTGTTTCCTTTTGTGTCGATTCAAGATAGTCTTGTGAAATTTTTTTCCTTCATTTGATAGATTGATCTTAATGATTCTTGTTGTTCGATTGACTCAATGAGAAAAGAAGCATTTATATCGAATAAAACTTCTCCTTCATCTGGATATTGACTAAATGTGCCAATATCAGCAACCCACGAAAATAAATTTTCGAAAAAAACGCGGTCAGACGCGGTTTTTTAAAACTACCGTGGTTGTCCTCTGACACACCGCGGTGTCCTAGAAAAAACGCGTTGAACCGCGGTGTGGAAAAACGCGGTTCGAAGAAAACGCGTTTATCATCTGTGTCACCGCGGTATTATAAGTTGCGGTTAGTCGCGGTTTTATGGAACGCGTTGATCATCTTGAGGGTGTGGGTGTGGGTGTGGATCTTTCCTTCACACCCACACCCTTAAAGTGTAGAGTAATTAAAACAGTTTCTGAAAAACTCAAATTCACCGAAATACTATTTATTTATACGAATGTTGTTTGCGAGTCCGGAATCAGATGAGCAAGCTTGCGGTTTTTCATAAACACCAAATATATGCGTTGCTTATTTAGAAAATAGTAAAATTCTCATTATATAAGTAGATACTATTCCAAAAGTATGATAAGATTAGTTCATACATATTTTTTATAAGCCTTATCTACATTTATTATGATCAAATATAAAACAGAATTTTTGTTAGATTAAATAAATCCTATGATTTCTTCATCGTCAAACTACGTACATGACGAAAATATGGTAAATTGGCAGGAGCTGATATAGATTAAAGGAACGTTATTGTAACGATTAAATGCAGAGAGCGTCCAAATACCATCCGGGGGTGTAATGCTCTCGTTCGAGTGTAACCTATACATAAGATTTGGTCTTATGGTGCCATTTATTCTCATCACACCTATTGCCTCTATCTTTCTGTCCTTTACATTTGTCTTTATCTATCCTTCTTCTTCGTTCTCTCAAATGGTTGAGTATTTAAGCGTGTGCTTTATATGTAATCGATGCGATTTATGATTTGAAGAGTTAAATAAAGTGTAATACCATCAACACAGGCATCTCTTCTATCTAAAATCGTCACAGTTATTTTTCTCAAGTAAATTTATTGTCCCAAAAGTATATAATTAAGAAAATTATAAATTTACTATTTTCCATCGATTTTCAGTATAGATAAATTTGTATCTCTTAGGTTTGATAAAAAAAACTCATGGAAAGAACAATAGTAGTAAAGATTATTTTCATATGGCGGAATTCTGTTAAGAATTTTTTCTTCTCAGTCTTATATAGTTCCTTTTCTTTTCTTTGGGTTTCAAGGTTCACTACAATTAAAAATATATTGGCATTAGCTTTTGGTGCACTAGAACGTAGCAATTCGATTGATGAAATTATTTTTTCCAAATGAAAGAAACAAAATTTGATCAGGTTCGTTGAAGAAAACGCATTTGATTTACGTTACTTCAATGTTGATAGACTAAATAAAATCAACTGCGTTTATCTGAAAGAATTTCTTGCTGATCAAAGATACATGTGATTACTGAAGTGTCTATTGTTGAATGAGCTTCTGATACAGAATGCCCATTCCATTGGTAACTAGTGAAAATCTTATCAGCTTTCAAAAATACTTTGGTCAAAATTATAACGCTTCAAACATGTCTCCTATCGAAAAATCAGTGATAAGCAGAAAATACATGTACACATTTCCATTCCTAAGACTTATTCAAGAAAGAACAGTCTCTCTTTGATAGGGTATCTGCTGACTACCAGTACTGCATACATGAGTTCTTAGTCATCTGCTGTCGAGGAAGATTAGTACGGTAAAAAAAAAGGCATTCATTCAATGTTGAAAATAAATTTTCTGACAGATCTATACGAACGTTCTTTCGTGCATTTTGCTCTTGATGTTGATCAGTTAGCAGAATTTTGAGATAAAGTTAAATGCCCTAATGATGACTGATGATATTTTGTACATTGTTATATAGAGATTCTTGTTACTCTGTTGTAGGCAAATTAATTTTAATCCCATAGAGTTACCTAAGTAATCCAAGGGTTTTGAATTTTAAAAGAAGGCTTCTTGCTCTTCGTTGATTTGATAATAGTATGAAATCATGTGTTTGTAAATGAATTTAAGATAAAAATAACAATTATTAGTAACATATTGTTACAGAATTGAACTTCCTCAGAACTTGCTACTGAATACTCCGTGAATGCTCAAATAGAAGAACAAAAAACGGAATATGCATCGATGCAAATGTACGAGTGAATTTTGAGATACGGCAATAATGCATCAAAATATCAATAATAATTTTCATTTCAAGTTAATTTTCTATTATTGTTATTTTTATTGAATTATTTAAGAATTTCTACCGAAAACAAATACCAATAACATATTTTCCCATGTAATATTTAGAATAAATTCTTTAGTGGCATGAGTAGCTATTCATGAAATAGATAGCACACATATATGAAAAATTATACCAAATGTTCATTGTTTATGTCTGAAATTAAATGTTTCCATGAAAATTTCAACAAGAAAGTGTATGATAACAATAATAAATTTAATCTTCTAGGATTGTTCAGCAGTAATGCATATTATAATGAATTACTTTTTCTCGAGAACTATCAAACATTGAACCTCTATACGAATTATTGAGTATTATATATAGAGAAAAAGGTTTTAGTGTACTTTCTAAGTCATTACAATCTCCAACATCGTTTACCTACTTTGCCCTATCACGATGTGAATATTTTATTCTATCTAGTTGTAGTCTCCTTTGGCCTAATTCTCATAAAATTTGCTAAAGAGGTTATTCAGAGAGTAAAGCAGTACGTGATGAATATCTCCTGTTTGATATTTCATTCGATAAAATTTTAATTAGTATTGAAATCAACAATGCCGAGCTTTTTCATGGACTAATCATACAATCTAGATGTTTATTTTTAGATTTCTTTCACAATAGAATGCAAACATTTTTCTTTTACATTAATGTATCAAATCTCCTGCCGCGATCCCTCGAAGAAAATATGACAAGTTTAATGGCATCGTAATAGGTGTCTGTATTTGAAAATCAAACATCATTCATAGAATTTTTATCATGTTAAATCAAAAAATAAATATCCGTTCTTACTGGCTACATGAGTCTATTAAAACGTTCGAAAATTTAGAATAAATGTATAAAAATGGAGATGTTTTCTCTTGCATATCATATAAGAGAATCATATTCTATTTAACTTATTAATTTACCTATACTCAATATAATCACTTAGCTTACAACTACACAGCATAGACTCAAATGAAAATTTCACTCTTGCCATAATAATGACGTGAACTAATATTATCGAGAAATTTTTGAATTCCAGGACTCTCTTGATCTTATTATTTCTTAACGAAGAGATTTGACAATCAAGTATTAAAAGCATCGAAAGATTGACATTTTAGAATAAAGAAAACAGAGTCTGTCTAAACTCAGTGTTGAATGGTATACGATTTTCGAGTGCTGTATTACATGATTGAGAATTACAATTGTACACAGCAAAATACAGAATTAGACTGAAGTCTTATAACGAACTATGTAAACTATCGTATTGCTTGTTATTCCATATGGAGAAGTGTGATTGGGATATGGCGCCATGTAATACACCTATATTTGGTAACTTACACTCATTCACGAGCGCATTTGTTCAATTTGAGATGCTCATAAAAAAAACGTCACGATCATTGTTATTAAATTCTTAAATGGTTTGATCGATATATTCAGTGTTAATATGTACGTGAGGATATGATGTAACAATTTTAAGAAGTTAGAGAAAAAGCTCGGAATATATAATTATGATCAACGATGACTGCATTGAATTATTCGATAGTCATTATTTTTCTCTCGTGCAATAGAAATTGTTTTGAAGTAAATAATTATATGGCCTCTGTATGAAACAATACAAATACAACCCGTGTTGTATTTTGAACATGAAGAACACAAACAATTGTATGAGTATGAAATACGAAACAAAAAATTAAACACATTGTAATGATCTATTGATCAACAAAAAATTCGATTGAAACTTTGGAAAACAAAATAAGAAGATCTGCCGATGTGGATAGACAAAGCACAAATGTTGCGTTGTCAAAATAATTTAGCTTTTTAAACTTGAACATCAATCCTTTGTCTTGAGGTGAATTCGAGTTATGAGCCTAGTTCTATTAATTATAATCAGCTGATGTTATTTCCAACGGATTATTCTCGAGAAATTAAAAAAGAAAGCTTTCTAGTTTCATTATTTGAATAACCATTCATTCAAACTAAGTAAAATTAAGTAGACAGCTATCGTTTTGATCAGGTCTGAGCTCAAGATGATATCCAGATACAGTTTTAAACTTGATTTACTGTTATGTTTCATATTATTTACAGACATGCAGCTAGATCAATGCAATATGGCTCGTTTAAAAATGTCACGTCGCTTGCATACTGTTTGTCGAAGAAAAATAATGACTAGAATTTTAAATCAAGAGCAAGATGTCCTAATTACCGGGCCGAAGGTCAATACTGACGGAACCGATTTTTTATACCAATGGAATATAGCGAGCACGAAGAAAAAGCTTCTTAATAGCATTATTAACAATATCAACATTCTCATGAAAATGTAAATAGCCTGAATATTTACTTCCATGTTTTGAATAAGCTATGCTTGCAACTTTTACAGAAAGAGATAAATAACAATATGCTCGATGTCAAGAGTGGCAGATATGAATGTATCGATTTGTCCCAGTTGTCATATGATAAAGACATAAAAGTATGAACTAATTTGAGTTCATCAAATTACATAATAGTTCGTTAAGAGCTTCCGTATATATATGCATAACTAATGTGTACGGCATGCTTCTTTGTCATTTAAACCAATCACCAGTGGAATATGAAGCAGAAGAAAGTGATTAAAAAAGAAAAAAAAAGAAAAACCGAAGTCAACAACAATCGAATAGCTACAAAAGAAATAAAAGAAAAAACTGTGGGTGACAAAAAATCTCACAACGAAATGTTAATAATCATGAGTCAGATCGTTCCCTAGCAATCGATTATTACTGGAATTTGAATGTTCTGCATTTGGTATTCTGATATTATCAAGGGAAAACAAAGGTATAGTAGTCCTACGCTTCAATTTCGGCCCATAAAAGTACTCAGCTATAATTCTCTAAAATAAAACTTGTGAATTCTTTGCTGAATTAACGTTGTATTTAATTAGTATTCAAACGAACGAGACGGATATATTTTGATAAGTAATTTCATTCAATTCTAAAAGTAAGTCTAATGTTCTCTTTCATGTTTAGTATAAATTTTACTCATTACCTACTGAAATCTAATAGTTGCTTGAAGAGCATGTTCTTATCGTGTTAAAATAGGTCTTGAATCGACGAAATTTTTTGAATGATCGATTACATTTTAAAGTGATCTATTCAGTCTCGATGTTTCCAGAGACGCATAAAACAAATGAAGTCGACAGTTCGTTCTATTCTACAACACCACTTAACACTTCATATCGAATCGCTGATCTCAAGAGGCTAGTTCTGGTTTTATCAAAAAGAAAGAAATCGATTTCTCTACTATAAATAACAAAATCATATTTTGATGGCCCTGCGACATGAAAAAAAATTATATTATTTGTTGATTGTTTTAATGGAAGAAAAACATTACGAGTTGTTTATCGCGTTAGAATTGATCTGTCGCGACATCAATAATGAATTTTTGAAAGTTCAAAGAAATTCAAGTATGTAAGTAAGAGGCACAAACACGATCATTGATTGTATATAATTCACTTGCACAATTCTTCAAAAAGAACAAAAGAAAAATAGAAGACTCGCCAGAATCAGAACATTTTATTTGTTATCAATAGCAGATCTCTGGATATCGATCTTTTTTTCTTCTTACTCGTAGTATTTCTTAACTCAACATTATTGTAATTTGTGGTATAGTTATTAGTTGTTAGCATTTGAAAATATCATTCGATCGTTCGGTTTTCTATCCTTGCATGTCATCTAAGTCATGGTAAGAGAGCAAGAATAATTAGATTTTATGATGTAACATATGTATGAATGTGTCATCTTCATTTTTATATGATATTCATATTTCAACAATAAAAGCATTGTTTCTTAAGATTGGAAAGATCCTCTACTTTTTTTTTCTTCTGTTCTTTTCTAGTAAAATAATTTATCCTTCGCTACAAAAACTAATCATATTATATATCCATTTGTATGACTATAACCGTTTTATAAAACGTTATATGTACAATTGAAATTGTTATTGGCAGACTATGGTCGTTTCTATTTTTTTTATAATTTATTCTATGTAGAAAAAAAATACAAGAAAAAATTTAGAAAAAAATGCCTATTATTAATCATATTATATCATAATTATCTTTTAACATTTCTTTTATATGAATAAATTCTAATATTTATGTAAGAAGGAAAAATTATTTGTATGAAACATTCCTTTTTTTTCTACCTGCCATGATATAATTGTAGTACTTTTTTTTAACCTATAACTAAAATTTGGTACAAAGGTTATTCAATTTATCAAATCTATTGTTTCTCAATTGCACAATAATTCGCGACCTTTGTCGCTCAATCCTAGTAGTAGTTAATAGTTGAACAACCATCTCATTGTTCTATTGCATCATTAAATTGATAATAGCAACTGTTCCTTCCAATAGGCATTCAAACGATAGTATTCTATATATATTTCCTGCTGTCAATCGTTTGCCAAGATTATAAACTATTGTTTCTTTGTTATTTGATTCTTCTGTGTTATTTGACACATCGAAAATGTCTCGTTTGACTAACTTCTGATGAGACTTTTCTTCTTTCTTTCTTCCTTTCGTTCTTTTCTTTTTCCTCTTTTACAAATGATTATTCGACTGATGTAAAAGTAGATTACATGGAACCACCATTTACTATTGTGCTATTTTGCCTTCTTTCTACACTCGTCTTCTCCTACCTGCATAAAGTAGGTAGAGAAAAGAAAAAGACTTTTCTTTTTGTGGTCTGCTGTCACTTGCTTTTTTTTGTAAGTAATTAATTTAGTGTCGCTTCTTTTTCTCCTTCGAGGAAACCAATACACGACATGTTGAAGGTGATGATGGAATGCAGTAAAGAATAGAAAGAAAGAAAGAATGAAGAAAAAAAAAGAAAGCGAACGAATGCATGTGTGCCGTTCATTTTTTTTCTTTTATTTCTACTGTCTACTTTAGCTGATAGTAATGTTTGATGTCGGCAGTAATACAACTACAAAATAAAAGTGTGAGAGTAAGAACAGACGTCAGTCCGCCTTTGTCCACTTCAGATAGACAAATACGCACACATCATCATTAATCATCGAACGGAAACGAGTAATACATATGGAAGAAAATTTATTGAATGAACTGGAAAATTTCACATCTATCAAATACCTGGATGACGTTACCAATAACAATTGTTGCAATGATGATGATCAGGCTTGTTTCTATGAAAATATTTCAACTGGAAAATTTAATGATTGAATTTTCTTTTGTTTAGGATAATTCGCTAGCTCATCAATTGGCGATTAAAGATCGACAATTGATCTTAGCAGCCAAATGCGGAAAAGCTTTACTAGAAGAAAAAGATGAACTTGAGCGACAAATAGAACTGATGAACAGAGACTATCAACAACGAATTGATGTATAGTATTAGTCTCTTGGAACAGATATCAATTGACATTAATATTCTTTTTCATTTCACAGTTACTTGAACAAGAACGACATGAATTACGTTTACTTCTTGAACAAGTCCAAAGTGAATGTGATACAAAGGTAGTTGAAACGAACGAAGATAAATGTGAATTACGTCGTCAGTTAAATGATCTACGTCGTGAACAACGAATGCATGATGAACAGCAAACACAAGCAATACGCGAATTAACAGAAATCAATCACAAACTTTCACAAGATTTTCAAGTCGTACGTATTTATTTTAAGAAACAAATATTTTCTGTGTAAAGATAAGATAAAATTTAAAAAATATGTCTCCTATCAAATAGGGTTGTACAAATGAATCAAGATTACAAGAACAATTAAGATTATTACGACAACAAGCTGATACTGCAAGTCAAACAAATACCGAGCAGACACAAGACTTATCAAAAATAAAACAACAGGTAACAAAATTGCGACAAACTAAAAAAAAGAGCTGCTTAATATGTTTGCCGAGAAAATAATTCGTAGCAATCCTTTCTTAATAATAAAATTTATTTAATTTTATTCTCGTATAGAATAATGCATAGCTTAAGCTTTGATTCGAGATGAAATTCTATTTTTGATAAATATAGTTTCTATTCGCATATTTTATTTTCTCTCTTCATCGAAATAAATCAAGAGTAAAAGTTAGCATAATGAAGTTTGATTCAATTTATTCTTTAAACTAATCTTTAATAAATGTCAGTCTACTAGACTCGAATACCTTGATAACAACCGAATACATTATCATAAATTAGAAATATTTCCTATTTATCTATAACCTTGTGTCAATTTTATTTTTTTTTTAAATGAATAGACGAAAAGAAAACATCGAATGATATCATTTTTCAAGTTAAATATCTGAATAGCTAGCATGCGAAACAATATCGCGTAGTTAAACACAAAAATCAATATTATTTTCGTCCCCCTTTTCCTGTATCGAAAAATCAGATTTCAAATATAGTTAATATTCAAATTTGTGATTAAACAAAAATTCATTGAATAATAATATTCTAGTTCGATAATCTCCATTGTCAATACTTGCAACTTGAACTTGATCATCACTTACTACTCGAAGAGCATGACACATTAACACATAAACTGGATGAATGCCAACGAAAATGTATTATAATTGAAGATGAATGTCGTTCATTACAAGATATTGTAACTATATAATATTCATTCATTATTTTCATATGAATGCTGTTGTTTTCCCTCTTACTAGAAATTTCATAATGAAAAAGAATTAAATGATGCACACGAATTAATTCACCGTTTATCACAGTGTAATCCGGAAAATCGTGTACCAACATCGTTTATGCAAGAGCTACAAGATGATTTTGGCGTATGTCCTAATAGTAATGCTCCGTTCAATTCAACTGTTATCGATGATGATCATGATGATAGCACTGAAGAACATGAAGATTGCCATATGGATGAGGATGATCATGATCATGTCGTTGAAATAGCTCAAACACAAACTAATGCATCTATCAATGAAAAATGTCTTCTAGATGAATTTCTGCAAACAGAAGAAGTAAGAATAAATTACATTCAGATAAATCTATATGATTATAGTCTCTAATTGATAGGTCATATTATATAACAGCAAGGACTTTCTTCTTAGATAAACCTAATAGTCGTATCTGATAATAAAGTTGACATTCAAATGTTTGACTTCATCTTTTTCGTCTGAAGACATAACCTAATGACTTTTGTAAAAGTCGAGGTCTAGATCTGTGTTAGTTTTTTTTCTTTCGAAAGAACAAAGTTTGAACTACAAGAAATCGTTCTATATTATTCAAACTCACACGGACACTTTCATCCAATCAGATTCATCTTCAGAAATATTTTGATTTTGTAACAAAAAAAAGAATATTTCTTGAAGGCATTTTATTTTAACTTTGTTTTCTCACTCACGTTACAATACTAAAAATATCTAATGTTTGTTTTTGTAATTCAGACCTTGACTTTTCTAAAAATAGATTTTAACTATTTGAACGACAAACATACAGCTAGATTGTTTACAATATGAAATTTTAATTTTGCATCTCTTCCTTTTAGTTTAAACGTGAAATTGTTCTTGTGTATAAACAATTACGGTCTCTTTGCTTGGAACTAATTTATATTCATACACACACATACTCGAGTAATCTCTCAACATCATCATCAATCAGTGATACAGTTGATAAAGTATATGATCGTTTGAAAAATGGTTGTCTAATCAGTATATTATTTGAATTGAAGAATTTAATAAGAGACATGATTGAACATGAAGATATGATTGTATGTAAAAATGAAAATAATACTTTACCAAATACAAATACAATAATACCCTCGCCATCCATGGCAACAATAAATAGTTATGCATCAGCTTTTGATGATGTTAATCTATTCATTTTGTCCTCTAGCCCGTCAGTGTAATAAACAATTTTCAATGTGTTTTTTTCCTATCTTTTCGTTCGTCTTTCTGCATATATTAATCTCTGTTTCTGTTGTTGCTGTTGTTTATATTCAATTTGTCTACAAGATTTTTTTTGTACCTCATGCATGAGCTTAAAAAATATATATCTATATATATTATAACAAGATATGGGATTATTCAGTTGCATCGTAGAGAATCACAAACAGTTTCTACACGATTAATTGATAATGCAACCATATTTACATCAACTGGAAAATTATTCAGAGTTAATATTGATGTAACATCACAATGTTTATTTATTATAATTATGAAGAAAATTTCGTGGTGAACAAGGAATTGAATTTATTATAGCATCACCTAAACAAAGATCTGTAAGTTTGATATGATTACATCAGAATATAAATAAATGCATTTTAATAGATACAGATATTGAACGTGATGAACGGTTACCAACTATATGTTTTCTGTCTCAATCATCATGTACGCTGATGGATGATTAGGATACTCATGAGTATGATGATATTTGATTTAGCCAATGTTCGACGCATAAATAATGGAAATTTTAATAATCCAAAATTTTCATTGGACGAACAAGATGCGATTTATACGAAAGCAAGTCACGACAAAGAACAATGGTTTACAAGATGGGCAGCACAAAACAATTAATTCATCATCTAGGTGAATTGCCCAACAAATTTATGTAACATCAATTTTTATCAAAAACTCGAATTACATGTTACGTAGAATTAATAAATAATAATCCCAAATTATTAACGTGTTCAACATTAGCTCATCTTGAATATATTCAACGCAATCAACATCGGATTGTTTTTAGTGAATCAACATTATTTCAGGAATCAGTAAATAGAATACAACAAAATTCATCGAAAATGATTATTTTCTAAGTAACAAATGATCTTAAACAAATTCAAAATTTTATCGAAAATGAACTATATATAGCACAGAAATAAATTTTCGATAGTATACTTATAGAATTATTCAAATTACATAATCAAAATCCACGTTACTCAAAGATGAATTTACTATATAAAAGTGATCTGTCTTTTTTCTTTTCTTTTCTGTTCTATTCAATCTTTGTATTTTAATTTCTAAATACAGATTTTCATCTAAGATATTTTTATCTTTTCTGTATGCTATTTTTAATACTCTTAACCAGATGATGTCTATACTTAATTCAAGGTGAATTCATCGATGTGTACCAAGTCATCAGTTGTTAATATGGAACTTTCTTTAACATTGGATGAATATGATATATTGTATCGTTTATCTGACATATCAATTGTAAGTGAGTGATCATAGGGATACTAACGATGATGGTCATTAAAGAAAGTGTATGGAGTGGATCCTTAGTTTTTAGGATCGATTGAAATACTATTAATTATACTTCCATTTGACCTAACAGACAAGTAACACGACGTAAGCGTCGCTAATCCTCTACTGAAATGGGTGAAAATGTTTGATAAATAATAAACAAATATTACAAGTTTTGGCGTAAGAATTCAGCAATGCTATTTTCCATGTCTTTCTGTAGTGATAAGTGTATCCAACGTATTAGCTATTGTGGATTGTTAGATGACCTTTTGTTTAGATTCAATTACTAAAAATCTCATTGACAGTTTCATAAGTAATATATTGCTTAGTTCGAGAGAGTTTTTAACATTTAATTTGATTCTTTCAATAAACCAAAGGTTCATGAGAAGTCTATTCTGTCGTTTTGAAGCCTATGAATAAGAATACCGTTTGAATTAAATTTTATCCTTACAAGCGATCCAAATATGAAATTATTGCTAAACGATAACATCTCAGGTACCTCTTTGTAGGGGAAGACTGTAATGTGGCATCTCATAAGAGATACTGAACGAGAAAAACGATTTGAAAAATTACATGAGAGTTACTTAAAGATATTATATCTTCAACGCCTGAATACAAGCTTGAAAGTTAAAGTCCGATGACTAATAATTTGTCCACCATGTTATAAAGTCAATAATAAAAGTTTGATAAAGATCAAATATATTCCTCGCGTACCATGCAAGATGATAAACCTTTCTTAGTTAAATTCAAGTAGAGGAGTCAGAAAGTGACTCTTTACAGCATAGATTTACATGAAAACAGTGTTTTTTGACTTTGTTGAAAATGATGTGTTAATCTCGCTTATAATACCGTTTCACTTTTCTTTTCATAAGTTTTCTTTGAGCGAAAATTCTGCAAAAGCTAAGATTCAGAATGCACTATCTCTACGAGAAAGAGCTGAGCGAGTCCACAGGCAAGTGTTACTTGTAATCATATAAATATTTCACTTTTCAAGTGAACTTCGAATTATGTGGATGAAAAATGACCGGTGTCATTTAGAACATTTGACAATATCATTATTTCTACTTCAATATTGATAATGTTTTGCAAAAAAACGACAACATAATAATATATTTTATGTGAGAATTTTACTCATTTCTAAAGCAAAACATCTATGTTGTTAAGACCACTGAATTATAACGTTTTCGGTGGAGTCCATTGGATACTACTCTAGTCCGTTAGATAGGCTGAAATTGGTTGTTGATACGTGATATTTAACCTTAGCTTATCATCTTTATTGATCAATGTCCTTCGTCGTTCTTTCTATGTTACTATGTATTGTGAACAACGTATTATTCCTAAAGCGTGGTGAAACGTTCGTTTATTCGAAGCCTCTCTGTGAAATACTAATGCCCATTTAATTTATCAGTGAACGATGCACGTAGTGTCGTATTTTTCATAGTCTAGATATAAACCAATGATACACATATACGAAGAATTTACTATTGTCGAAGAAAGGAAATATATGCATCTGGTAAATCGTATCAATATTTACTCTGAGAGCAGGTAATCTAAGTTGATCACTGCTTTAATCGGATCCATTCAGGAAAAATTCGAATCATGGTCTAAAATATTCTACGTTCGTTCTATTTTCTTCTTTCATTCTTGATTCCTGAAAGTGTTTTTCTAAGCTGAAACCTTCAGTACATTTGGCGGCGAACATGGGAGTATCTCTATACTTTTTTTTCTGTATGAAAGCATTTTATTTTCTTGCTTTTCTTGCTTATTATTAAAGTAAGTAACTAGGATGAGAATATATCCAAAAAAAGTTTTGGATTTTCTGTCATAATCAACAAATAACAGAGACTCAATCTCAGTCAACTTTTTATTTTCTTGTATGGTCAGCAGATTTAAATGTAATTTTTTAATGCTTCCAAACCTAAATTTCTCGTTTTACGATGCATACCGAATATATCTGTTAGTGAGATTGAATGTTTAGTTCAAATATTCTCTTTAATCGGTAAATATACAGTACTATTGATCTGAGCCAACAGGTAGAGACTGCCTTTTCTGTCAATCTTCATACAACCTAGAAACTTAACTCAGCTGATAGAATGATACGCTATAATGATTTATTGATGCCAGCCAATGTTTTTCTTTCTTTCCAACATCATATAATGACTAGTAAAAGAGACTTTCCCATCATTGTTTTTTAATCTAGAATCTACAGTTAATTGATTCGGTCAGTTCTGCATAAACTTGAGATATTATTTTTTTTGGCAATATTTTAATAACTAAATGAAGTAAATTCATTGCAAGTGACGATGATAGAGTGTATAAGATTCATCTTTCCTTCGTAACAACGAAATAACTTATTAATGTAACAGACGAAGAACTCATATTTTTCTATCAATTGATATAGATAAAAATAGATAGCGGTAATGATAGTCAGATAGGTACACTTATTTTTACAAAAAAAAGTGTTCGTTTGGCCCTACTGAATTGGATTTACTTACCACAGCTCGACTACAAATAATACATGTTTATGATAAACCACGTGTAGTTATTCTTTCAACTGATAGTAATAAATCATGCTTATGAGTGCACTAAACAATTTAAATCAACAACATACTATTTATTTTCAGTGTGGTATTATATATAATAAGTTAACTTTGATTCGAATTCTGTATCTTTCCAAACAGCTATTTCGAGAATTTATTCTAGTAAAACATCGACTATTCAAACATTACAATCTCATCATCCAATAATTTATGTGCAGATATATATACTTGAATTAACATACCTAAGTTTTTATTTGATCATTTCGCTCAATCAACCCATTGACTATCTTGATTTACGACCTGAATATATGCCAGTCATCATTGAATGGTCAGCAAATCGATTGATCTAAACTATCTGTACAATAGTAGTGATATAACATCAAAAACACTCAAATGACATTTGTTCATCACAATACATGATTTTCTATTTTGAGTTCAAGCCCTCTACTTTCTCCATGTGAATGTTTCTTGTTTGAAAGAAATCCATACATGTTGTTGTGAATGAAACAGTGAGTCTGTTAATTTCATACACCAGTGCATATCAACAGTCCGGTTGTTTGTCACATAAATGTTTCTCTATTCAACACATTCATTAATGACAGTGTTGCTCTGGCAAGTCGATGTTGCCATCAACCCGCACATTTTCTTCATCGCAACATGTGTTTTGATCCGTAGAGATCATTTACCTTTTGGTAAGTTTGAAGTAAGCAATTTATCTCGTTAAGAAGGTGTGGGGTATGGTATTATTCTCAGTCTGACACATCACTTGCTTACATTCTACCGTTCGGGCCCATTCATGAAGAACGCCAAAAGGTCATTCACAGAAACCAAAATAAATGTTACTCACTTGAGCTAAAGGTAGTGTGAACCAATGAAATTGCGAATACTCATTCTACCTTTCTATATTAAAAACATTTAATCGACATTGTAAAAAAAAATATCATTTCAATTTTGTCTTTCAGTATGTATCACTCAGCGAAAAATAATTATACAGAGATTACATAATCTAGCAGTTAAGTATGCCAAATCTTTAAAGACATATCGAACATCGTTATAGACTACTAGACGTTGGTGATCATCTGCATCGTATGTCAATGATGAGTCATTCGATATCGTAAATTGGTAGCTGCTGAAAATCATGTTCATTTACCCCGATATGTTCAGTGCTTGAGAGCCATAACCAATATGAATTGGTTCACTTAATGATATTTCTTTAGCAGTACAATATGCATAATTGAAATACTCTTTATGTTGTCAATCTATTTTGGTTCAAGCGTAAAATGCTAAAATCCTTCCACGAAACATCATTTTGCTCAATCGAAAATAAATTGATGACTACCCCACGTATTTAGCACTAAGAAGTACTTTTCATGAGCATTATCGACAAGAGAAAGTCTTTCTTAATTACTTAACCAATTCGACTCATTTTGTTGAATTTCGATTCTTTTACCGATTGTCCATAGATCATATGCATTTTTTATCTAGTGAACGATTCATTCATTCTTACTCGATAATTAATAGCTCGAATAAATATTTCTTCGTGTTATCCAACTAAATTTCCTATGAATAGTTTTCTTTTTACACTGTGAATCATATACGTACCAAGTTTATTCATATTAAACTCTTCTTTGTTTGGTTAGCTCTTACGGGGAACATGCTTTTTTCATACTTTGTTCTTAATTCGACACATGATTCCTTTAAATATATCACTTAAAATCGAGGTTGAAGCAATTGTTTCTCAATTGAATTCACCCATGGAAAAAAATTCAAAAAAAGAACGGATAAGAACGCGTT